GGAGGCTGAGCTTCTTAACTCTCCACGTTGACAAGCAGCTGGACATGAAGCACAAATTCACTTGAGACTCTATTACTGGGGCTGCACTGCAAAAAATTAATACTCATATGTGTTTTTCTATACATATATAAGTTGCACTTGCTTGCAAATGCTGCTTTCTTTGACGAGCTATGAAGCCTGTGGACATGGGGCCTGCCATGTATCCAGGGTACCAGAAGACTCTGGGGCCAGCCCTCATCCTGAAGCCGTCATGAAGCTGCCAGTATCTGAACAAAGGGCTCCATTGGCGACCATTGAGACAGGTCGACCTTGCACACTCCCTCAGCGCTCACAAAGGGCAATCGCTCGACCTTCCACAAAGGGTTTGTTCGGGGCCTGTTCCGCTCAAGCATAGTGGAAGCGGCTGGACACTCAACAAAGCCAAGACCACCATGTCATTTGTTGCAGAGTGAGTCCTCAAACGTGTCTCAATCACACCAACAGCCTGTCTGGCCTGTCTGGACAATAAACACACCATGCCTGCAATGCTTGCATGACTACGCTGCATTGATAGATTGGGATAAGCCTGATAAGCCTGCATTAGAACTATATAGAGAAGGTCATCCAGCTGACATGAGCTCAACCGAAAGGAAGCCAGTGCGAGCAACGCAAGCAAAAAGACTTTGAGACGATCAAATGTAGCCAAATAGCCAGCACTCTCAATATGCAAAGCTGACTAAAGAACCACAAACCCGGCACACTCTACTGGAGTCAATCATACAAGCAGCAGCGTTTCTCAAGTAACCTGGAGTCAAGGTGTTCAGTTCAACTAAGTTGTGAGCAGAAGCGAAGAAGCCTGTTTGCACGAAAGACTGAAGCAGCAGCAAAAATCCAGGCCTCGCACGAGGAATACTGCAAGAAAATTGGCACGTCTATGAACCAGAGCGCAGCTCTTGAAGAGTTCTTTATCAACAATACCAAACTGTGCGCTTCAACTGGCTTGACTGTTCCAAGGTACTGCAAGAAGTCCACTGCAGGTAATGATGACTCACAGCATCCCATCCTCCAAGTCCACCAGTGGCATTCAGCAAAAAGCACTACAAACGAACAGAATGAACCTGGCCTCCTCAATGGCAACAGAAAGTCCAGCTGTGCTAAATCAAAAATCGAGACTGGCAATCCTGAATCACAACATCCAGATCTGGTCTTGGATCCTTGTATGACGTAAGTCCACATCTGTATGGAGTGCATGTACGCAGCTTTCCGGGTGATGTGACTTGTATCCCATTTAGTCTTCTTCTGGCTTCAAAGTGAAGCTGTGCTGGTGAGAAAAGATTCTGCACCAAGGCTGCTACCACAATGAGCAGAGCTGTGTAGCGAAGCTGAAAGCTCCGTGTTGGAGAAGTCCAAAATGAGCGGCAAAAGTCCAAGCCTCAATTCGGTCAGCTGGCTTCTCTACAGCAAAAGTGCCACCATCTCCCCTCAGTCCATGGCCGCATTGAGCACATGGCCAACGATGATGAACCGCAACGCGCCATCCTGCAAACGCAGCAACACCAAAATAGAATACCCTTCTAAGGAAAAGGAAGAACGATCAGAAGGGAGAAAGAAGGGTGGAAGGGTCCAAAGAAGAAAAAGGCAAATGACAAGCCTGAGCAGTTGAACATCCCACCTCCTGACTAGCAAGAACATCTCCAGCTGCTGGAGGTCAAATGCCAACAAAGGAACTCCTTGGAGTTTGGACTCACTAGCAGCTCGGCAAAGTCTTGGCAATGCCACTCCAGTCAGACTAGGCTCTCTTTTCAACACCTGAAACATCCTGTTTTTGGTAAAGTTGCCAGATTGTGAATGACTGCAGATAGGCAAAGCGAGGTCAAGCCTGGGTGAAGCATCAAATCTATCTCTATGACTCTGCTCGGATCTTGTACCAAAGCCAGTCAGAGGCACGAATTGACAAGCTTGCTAAGCATGAGGCTGAACAGAATCCAGGGCTAGCAAGACCAAGCCTCTTAGATAGGAATGTGTGTGTGTGTGTGTGAAGTGCAAATAACTCAGAATGTGATCAAAACACATACCTGTCTGACACCACAACAATATAATACGAAAAATCCAGCAATGCCAGGTCTGCGGCCAGCTCAGCTGAAACTGCGAGCCAAAAGCAAAAGGTCAAGATCTTCAAAATCCGGAAGTGATGGCAAAAGTCCAAGCCTCTGCCAACAAAGCTGACGGTTAGCTGAAGCTGTTAGCAAGCATTTGTTTGTGTGGCCCAGCTGCCCTTCCTGCTTAGCTCCAGGCCGTCCAAATCCACTTGATGAAATGAGCACATCGGATTATGCAAATCGTTGCAGCGAAAATAAAAAGCCAAAGAGCGCACAGCCTCCCACCAAAGCGAAACTTAGACAAGCTTGTGCAGCACTGACAGTTTCTGTGCCTAAAGCCAAGGCCAAAAGCTCCAGACACATGGAGGATCTCAAAGTCATTGCCAGGTCCAAACTTGCAGCACGGAATTTGAAAGCAGCCCGAAAAGCTCAGTAAAGCAAGAAAAATGTCAAACAACTCCTTCAGTCATGGCTGAGATGACGACTGGATAAAGTCCGTAGTTGACATCAAAGCTTCTAACTGGACAAGTCCACATGATAATATCGAAGAGCCCAATCAGCTCATCCTGACACAGCTTCCAAGAACATTGATGTTATATACTTCGGCCAGTGCTACATGGGCATGATCTGACTCCCGGATTGTTCCTCTGTAGAAGCACGAGCAAACCAAGAGCAGCCAGATCCGCTACCAGAAGTGCTGCTCCTGATCAAAAACAGCCCTTCCATCACACCTCAAGGTTTTTACATACATACAGTATGTGTTACATACATCCAAGCAGCACATCTATAGCTAGGATGCAAAAAATCAGTGAGCCTGGCTAAGAAGAACTACGAATTGGCACAGAGAGATCCAGCCTTGGAGAAGCAAAAGTCCTAAACACGTATGGACTTGTAGTCATGTCTCCAGCACAGTTGCTAGTTTGTCAACGGACTTTGACTTTGATGGCATCTTCAACCGATGCTACATTGAAAACCTCTATTTTATATATCTCTGGATGCCTCCCTCTGACTGCTTGGTATTGGATAGCCTACACGCATATAGAGCATTGCTGAAACGCACTCTTTGCAGCCCTGTCTTGTCTCCAGAACATTGAGGGTCTGCAGCTGGAAACAAAATCAAGTTCGGAGGGAGGGAATCATAGTCGCAAACTGAGGCTCCCAGCCGCACAAACTCCGATACTGGCAACAGCAAACCTGGCCGAATCTTCATAGAGCACGCAGTGTCCAAACAAAAGGAATCTTTGTGGTTTGCTTCATTGCAATTGCATGTGTGTGTGTGTCCTGAATTTCCTCTGCCAAAGACGAAGAAAGGTGCTTCCGCACCTTCAGGTCAGCTCTGTGTGATACACCGAAGGCGTCTGTGCCCTATTTAAACTAAGAGCTGCGCATTGAAATGACTGTACTGGCAGCAAAGTTCCAATGAAATGGTGAAGGCAAACAATTGACGGGCTTCCAAGGCCTAAGCACATCTTACAAACACAATGGCAAATGCGGCAAATGCTATATTGTCTCAGCTCGTGACGCACAAGGCTTTGTACTGGTGGAGCAAAACCCATTTGGGTAAGATCGAGGGTAGATGACCTTGATCCAAAAGTCCATTGTGCTGTGTGGGTGTTTTGCGCTAATTCTTCTTAAATGCGTTCACTTCCAAGACCTGATTTGCCAAGAAGCAGTGACTCAGAACGGCCAACTCCAAATACAAAGAGAGAAGCACCACACCGAGAGAGTGATCGTGCAAATAGCATCAGCCCAGGGTGTGCAAAACCTGAACCAGAGTTCTACGTAGAAAAGAGCGCAACTGAACAACCAAACCAATTGCATCTGCTATCAGAAATGGCAGAACTTGTTGAACAGCATCCATATTCATATAAAGGCTCACACTTCTGGCTGGTGAAAAGGATGCCATAGCTGCCTCGGAGAAAGCACAACTACAGCAAAGTCTTGCTTGTCTTTACACCCTCCAAGCCTTATTTGCAAAAGTTGTGATGTAGCTGGTAGGATTCGCTCCCAGATCTATCATACAAAGACCAATTGCTCCATATACTGTAACACACTCTTGCACCATGCAACTTACAGTTGTTGTGTTCTTCAAGCAGCAACATATGAGGCGACAACAAAGCCCAAAGCAAGCACCAGTGCTCCAAGCCTATCCCCAACAAAACCATTATGAAGCGCAAGACCGCTCTCAAACAGGTATAGTTGAAGAAGGAACAGTTTTGAAGGGCTCCAAAGGTAGTCAGACACTGTAGGTAGTTCACAAGAGCCATGTTTTGAGGTAACTTGATTCTGCCTGGAAGAACTGCGCACAAATGAAGAGAAGCCAAGATGGGCAAAGTCAAGGACAAACAGGAACTTCTCCAAGCGCATATAGCCTGGAGTATGCGCCCTTTCTCTAACTCTAGATCGCAAGATTAGAACCAGGTCTCAGGCTCAAGACAGATACGTAGCCTCAGAATTTCAGTCCATGCACAATGTGCCTTTCTGGATTCTCATTGTGGCAAATGCATCACAGTAGTGCGAAGAAAAGCTTGCGTGAAAATGCCGATGCTCCAAAAATTACAGATATTGAGGTGAACGCAGCCCCTTGAACACATGCCCCACTGCTTGAGGTGCACGCTTGCCGCTTGCAACCAAGGAACCGCTGATCTCAAGATTCCCAAGGATGCTTCCTCCTGAGCCTCCCGCATCACACCGTAACCTGACTCCGAAAACAGTAGACAAGGGTTATTGCGGCGTGGTTAGTGTGTCACGGTGTGTCGTTAGTGTGAAGGTGGCTCGGTTGCAGCCAGACTTTGTTGGGTTTGGTGGCTCGGTTGCGGTTCCTTTGTCGGCCTGGTGCAGAAGGATAAAAGGGGTGGGTGTTTAGGGGGTTATCGCACTGCGGGTGTGTCAAGAAAGGCACTTCCCTTCACACAGTTTTGCCTAAACATGCCAAACAGTGCTATTCCTACAGAACTCAAGTCGCATCTTCCTGCAAAATACACGATGGATGTTTCTCAGAGCACCCGACGTCCCTGCCAGACATGCGCAATGAGTGGCAGATGCACCAAACTCGCCATACCTGAGCTATCTTTTTGGTTGCCAAGACAAAGAGGCACCACGCACCGAGAACCTAACGAGATTTGGTATGTTACACCTCCTCCGTCAGTGAGGGAAGCCTCGCAGCATGCTCAAGGCTAAAAGTAATGGATCCGAACTTCGCAACGAAAGATTCATGTTCCCAAGTTCAGTAGTGCGGACAGTGGACTGCATAGGTGCCAAAGTTGTAGAAGTCATACCTGCGGAGTTGTCTTCCCTCAAAAAGCACAAGGACTTGAAGGCTTGGAAGCTGACTTGATAACGTAGTTTGAAGCCATATCCTTCCCCATGTAGTAGTTGCAATTCCTTGCAAGTTTTCCAGGAGTCATCTTGCTGTACCAAAATAGTCTTGAGCAACCAACGTGAGGGTAATTGCCATGTCCGCACCACCTGACGTGGTATCCAAGTTGAAGCCTGGCCAAATGCAGTCACCGCAACATAGTTTCATGATCACAAATGGCTGAGATCAGAGATCTATATATCCAAGTTGGAAATTGCCCTCTGCCATGCTAAGGTTCTTCCGAACAACATAAATCAAGGCCAAGGAACATGTGGGGCAGTATTGTGAGTTGCAGGCAGTGGTGCTCAGGTCCAGCCTTGTGCCAATCCAGGTTACAAAGGGATGTCTGGCAAGTCTGAATGATTTTGAGCATAGCCCTCGCATCAGCACAACCCCAAGCCAAGTCCTTTTCATCACCCGTCAGGCGGAAACATGAACTCTCAATGGGGCTAAGGGAAGTAGTGCCTTTGTTTCGGAATCAAAGAATCGATTCAGCCTCCCCGTGGTGTCAACAGGAGTTTGCAAAGTGTTCCACGCTGTCTTCAGAAGGCTGGCGTCTGCCATTTGCATTGTTCAAGAACAAGCGCACATTGGACATTTCCACGTATACAACCTGAGGAGACCAAATAAGACTGGTCGTTTGGACTGAACTGCCGAAGTTGGCTCAATTTTTCCTGGCATTTTTGATTTTCTGAACTTAGGAACATCCACTTCCACACTTGCGGAGCCAATTCCACAAGACAATGTGCACTTTCAGTCCATCATTAGACACGACACACAGTGCCCTCAGAAAAGGAAACTCAAGCTATACATCACCAGGTTTCCTTGTCAGAGCTGGGGGTCAACAAACCCACCCCTAACTGCATCATTCTTCAACCCAACGCACGACAGGAGGTCATCTTTGCCGATCTTCACACGACACGCCCGCCCCATTCTTTTCACACCCCTCCTCTTACTCGCTCAAGATTTCGAGCATGTTCTGTGGCAAGCTAGGTTTGCGGACCACGCAACACAAAACAAAACACTCAAGGAAACCAAAAGTGTGACAGACGGAGCGAGCCGAGCGAAAACGCCACACCCAGCTGAGACCGCACGTCAAGCACTACTCTCTCAGAGAGTGTCAGAGAGAGCCACGCGACCCAGACAGCCAGACAACGCAAAAGCCGAGCCAGAGCGGAATCCGTCTCCTTGCCCCACCCTGGCAAAAGACCCCTCAGACAACGAACCCCATGCCGCCAAGTAGCAAACAACACCACCACACCAGGCAAACAACAAACCACATCCAGGACATCAAGAGATCAACCCACCTGCCATCAACCAACACCGGCGGAAGAGAACCCGTGTCTGAAACCCACTGCCAAAACAATTCTAGCCATGAGATTTCCCTGCAATTTTTGTCAAGCATAGAAACCGACCAGCGGAGTGCGGCCAACCAACCTGTCAAACCGCGCAAAAACCGCTGCACATGAAAGCCGGCGTCCTTTCTACATGGCAGTTGTTGGATGAGAAGCATCAAGGCCAGGAAGTGTTCGGTCGCTCCTTCGACTTGCTCTTGTCATCATTCCAGCGCATTCAGTTTCTGCTTCAAAGTACTTAGGCAGATTTCGTGGTCCAGTCTGTGGTCGTGCGTTTAAAGTTTAAAGGGCTAAGTCGTTTGGGTCTCTGGATATTGATGCGTCGAGGCCTTCCCGCCCTCTGCTCCCGAGCGAACAGGCCTTGTTGGCGCAGTTGGTATTGGGTGGCATTTTACGGCCGAAGCCGTGAAGCTATTCGGAAGTGGGAACGGGACTCGCCCATTGTGTGGTCTGGTTCCCGCGCAGGGTGCGTCGGGTGTACCATTGCAGCGCGCTGGGGCCTTTATGGCTTCGAACAGTTGGCTGCAGGAGGTGCCGAGGTGACTGCTAGCCTTGGGTTGTGGCCTGAAGCGGATGGTCTGAGGGATGCCCATGAGTTTGTGGAGGTTGCGCATTGTGGAGTGGATATAATAAGCCTGCTCTCCTGTTTACTGATGGCTCGTGCCTTTTTCCGCAGGATCCTTTGTTGCCTTGGGGCGCTTCTGCGGTTGTTGAATCTGAATTGGACGAGGCTACAGGTTTCAGTGTTGCCTTCAGCGGTTTTCTGCCTTCCTCTCAGCAGACTGCGTGTTCCTCGCGCGGAGATTTACGCTGGGCTGATTGCTGCGCGGTTGTGCGCTCGTTTTGTGCTATTCAGTGATTGTTTGTCCTTGCTCAGAGAACGGGTTGACCTTGTGACTAGCTCAGTGCACTGGATTCCGGCGCATTTGGATCCGGTTTGCCCGCGTTCTTGTCCTGGCTATGCTGATCACGTCGCTAAATCTTTATTGCAGACTGCTTTAGGTGCCGTGGTGCTTACCAGAAGGTCGTTCAGCAAGTTGCGTGGCGGCGTTGCTGGCAGCCTATCCTCCAAGGCTTTCATCTGGAGGCTGCGCTTCTTTCCCAGGTTCCGGCGCGGTTGGGTCGTCGCTTTTCCGTGGAAACGGGTGCCTTCACCGATGGTGGTCGGCAATCCAAAGACACCCGGCCATAGCCTGGAAAATCGCGACGAAAATCGCCGATACAAACGGACCCTACAGCGGGTCAACGACCAGACAGCCCGACCGCTTTAACAGCCTGCGTCCGAAGCCAACGAAGAGTAGACACCGGAACCACAGTGGCCTCCGCCCGCCGCATGGAGCGCCGCTGGAAAGGCACCCCGAAGGAGCAACTGCGTCTTCACCCTCCAGGACAACGGCGTGGCACGAATACGCAAAATCCGAGCACGACATTGACGCGCGCAATTTTTGCGAAACTTACCAGCCCGATGGTAACTGCAAGCCATGTCAGCGCCAAGCACCCTTGCGGGCCTTGCGGAAAAAACAAGCGGAACCTTGTGACCCTGAAAACAAAACGAACGTAAGCGCTTACAACCAGCGGCGACAACGACCAAAGCCAAAACTTTGAGAGCTGCGCGGGCAAACACAGGAGGCCCGTAACAAGCGGAGGACGCCGGTCAAAATGATGAAGCGTAACTTCCCAGTTATCGGCGGAAGCGAGAACTAGCGCACCCGCGCTCAAAAGGTGGACAACTGTGCAGAAAAGGGAGAGAGAGAGATAGAGAGAGAGAGAGAGAGAACGAGCCGACACCGTCTCAGAAGCGAGAGTTTCCACACGCTTGACCATAACAGCCGCCCAAACCCGATACAAAAGCCCTGCCACGCTAATTGGCCGAAGCAGATCCCAAGTAACCGGCCCATCATGGCTTTGCGCAACAGGCACGGTGTCACTGCTAAAGAGGCAGGACTCCTCACCTCAGCCCGTGCCGGAATCAACTCAAACAAATTCCGTCGCTTCTCTCACTGATGGCACCTATGACCACCTGTCTTAAGCCATCCAAGACCTGGCCGACGCGAAGGCCGAGCACAGACTGAATCTTGACTCAGGCGACCAACGTTGCAGCGCCGAATACCGAATAGTACTGCCATAACACGCGAATAGTACTGCAGTAACACCTCATTCCGAATCAAACGGAATCGCAAAGAGCCACCCGGGGTTTGCCAACTATTTTTTAAAGGTTGCCAAAACCAGTGCTGCCATAGCTTCAAGCTGTTTCAACAATGCCTTCAGCCTACGCACCTGCCGTAACCACCTTCTCTGCTTGAGCGACAGAGATAGGAGCGGCGAAGACACATCCCCGGGCCGACCGTAACAAACCCTCGGCGGGGCAAGCCGCATGACAACCGGACCATCAGCAGAACAACGCCCAACAAAAGACCTTCGCGCCCGACCATCAACTTCCGCAGCATCACAAACCACCCGCTCAACATCCGAAGCTCAAATTCGGAAACCTTTCAAAAATGGCCCCTCATCAACGTTAGAATGCGACGGCGCGCGCGGCAGAAGCGCGCCACCGTGCCCAACGCTGCTTCCATGGACCATGTTGTTGGGAACCGTGGTTCTAGCGCAAACATGTGGCATCACTGCTGCTTCGAAGATCAACTGCTTTGCTCCTTTCGCCCCCCACACGCTCGTGGGCCGCAATGTTTGTCCACCAGGACTGCCCCAATTGAGCACTGCAGTTCACCTTCACTCTTCTCACACGCCATCCCGGAAAAGGAGATATGTTTTCCGAGGCCTGATGTTGACTTCCTTTGGTGGGCCTGTAACGACTCTCTTTTTCAGCCATGATAGTGCTGTTGGCAAGTCGCCAGATGCAATCAAGATTTTTCTGCTCTGCATGCGAAACGACCAAAATTTTGGCCGTCGGCAAAGAGTGAGCGTGAGCGCAACGAAGAAGCTGCCTTCCCAGCAAAGCGATGTGCGCGGAGTACTTCATCGATCCGTTTTGCTCCAAGCCCCACCCCAGCGCTTCAAGCTGCGTCACACACGGTTTGCACTGAGCAGGGCCTAAAGCCAAGCGCTATCCCAGGAAGCTTGGCTGGAAGAGGTCATCCCACTGGCCGGAGCAGAGCTGCGTGCTCGAGTAACTGCTTCTACCGCTCACCCGGCCGTCCGTAGGCAGGCTTGGACAGGTAACTCTTTTTGGCAGCTGGTCAGCAGCCAAGGACTGTGCAACCTTCGGCCAGCAACGGAGAAGCTATCTGCAGCACATCTTCGCACCATCGAATTGTGGCAGCCACCACTGGCTCACCTGGGCAAGGACCTTCCACTGGTTTCAGAAGTTCCTCCAAGTGAAGGCCACTTGTGCCTTGGTCCTAAGAAATCTCTAATTACCAAGACCAAAGAGGAATCTGAGAAGTGGTTTCAGAAAAAGCTGCAGGTATCAATTGATCGTGCTTGTGCCTTAGCACAGACCTCAGGTTGCATGCAACAACACAAACCTGTGGATGACAGCATCATGCGATCTATTGCATAACTCGGAACTTTACCACCAAAAGTTTCTTGTGCTGGAACTGCAGCGTGATTGAAGCATTAAGTTTCACAGCGAAAATTGTGATGTAATAAAATATGTGAAACCAAGTCAGGTCAACATTGGGAGCTCGACGCTATTGATGTTCCACTCAAGGTTGCGCACTCTGTGCTCGGCTCTGAGGAGCCTCAAATGACGAATTGAGTTGAACAACTGGAAGGATGCTTATGTCAGTGTTGGCTAAGGACACTCAAGAAACCTAGAGATCGCACCGCTTGCAGTGACCTTCAGCACTTCGGGAGTGTCGGCACTACAGGCAAGCTGACCATCCTGTCCAGTTAGAGATGACCAATGTCATATAACGGGGTAACTTCTCAAGGTCTCTCACTTGTGGCAAAGAATGTAATATGCACTGTTCAGAGGAAGAAGTGGAGAAGTGCAGGCCTTGCACATGCAAGTTGTTGCAGCATCGCCCTGCCCCAGAGGCCTGTCACCACTGCAATGGAAGTAATGATAAACAGCCGTAAGATACACTATCAGCTTGGATCTAATTACTACTCTGCACGACACAGGACTTCTCGGTTTCCTGCCTGATGAAGTATTCTCGGGCACCTGCTGCACTTCCATCCTTGACAAAGGCAGAGCCTTTTCCTCAAGCAATCGCAGCTGGGCTGGTTCCGCTGACGATGCAAAGCATTCATGTGCAAAGCACCATTTGTGCAGCTATGTACAGCATCCCGGTCATTTTGTTGATCTTTGCAAGTTGTTGGTGTAGTGCGCATGCATTCAAGGTTGGAGTTAGGATGTTCCATATCGTTGTAGAGCGTTTTGCAATTGGATCCCTTGGGTTTAGCAAAGCTTGAGTAATTCGTGGCTTGTTGTGATTGAAATCCCAGGATGATTTCAGTGAACGACACTACACAAACATACATAAACCATCCAAGAAACTGCATCTTAGATGACTTACCCGTCTAGAAGCCTGGGCAGCAGCACTTGCAACGAACAATTTTTGAAAGGTGAAGGCTCGGATGTCGATTGATTGTTTCTGTCAGTGGTTGTGATCATGACGTTGGCTCCTAAGGGTGCTCATGCGCTCATGCGTAGGAAGCCTCTTTCGTGGCCAAAAACACCAGTTGGATGCTGGAGAGTTCGATGCTGGAGAGTTCAACTATCTCAGCTCACACCCCTTCACTCCAGAAGGTAACACACGGATCAAGTTTCCTGTGCTGCGCATTGACCATGTTCAACCTCTTAACTAGGTTCCTCCCGCACATCAACAAATGAAGAATCACGGTGATTACCACTTACAATCCGATGGGTTTTTGTGCCTTGATGTTCCACAGGAAACCCCAACTGTTGCGTTCTTTCTGTCCAGTGCGATCTATCTAAAGGTTGCAGTGTATGCAGTATGGACAACTGCCATCGACAGCCATACAACTCTGTAAAGTGATGAAAGCGAATGTCAACGGTCATGACGATGATAAGAGTTGGGTTGTGGCTTGAAGAGGAAAAGACTAGAGTCTAGAGCACAACAATCAGTGAGAGCAGGTAAGCAGCACGGAAGTTTATGCCCAACGAGCAAATTGTGGTTCATGCAAGCTTCGAGGGCGTATGTCCATTCCTGCACTTAGCACAGACATAGTGCTCTGGTTTGATGAAATGATTGGAGGCCATGGAGATCGCTCTGCATTTCTAAGGCTCTGGGCCAAAAAACGAAACCAATCACAGCAAAGAAGAGAACACTTGCAAAGAGTGACTGGACCGAAAGCACTCGGCGTCTTTGTTCTTTTGCGGGCATTGAATGCAGATGTTTGATCTCCACAACTTTCCCAAGGCCTCAGCGCCATTTGAGGTTCTGGCCAGTATTGTAGAAAGCATACAAGAAGACTGCCTGCAAATGTGTTGCCAATTGAAACTTCAGCTCTTTCGTCAAATACATGTGGATATAGTAGTCAACCAAACCAAACCAAACTTGGCCTGACCAGTTAGAGCCGCTCCATTGACATAGTGGCAGTTTGTAATTGTCAAGGTGATTGCCTGAGACAAGGAAGCAAAAGAAATCACCTGACTTTGATGTATTAATTTTTCTGCCTTTTGTTGGCAGGAACTAAGAAATACAGGCAACGCAAGTGATCATGTGCCGTGCCTTTGGGTTCAAGAATATGAATCTTCAAAAAGAAACGTAGCAGGACTTCAATTGTTGAAACAGGAAGCCTCTATTCGTTTGTGTGGTGAGTACCGCGTTATAACTTTTATTATGCGCTCTCCGAGCACATATATAGTACCCTGCTTCAATGGGGAAGCCAAAAGCCTCATCAGAGTGGAAAGCAACCGAGGCATTTACACTGCTTGAGGTGTCAAGCTCGTAGCAGTTGGGACACTGCCTCGATGCGAAAGCTCCCATCATCCAAAAAGAGCGGAGAGCCAAGAAAGCTTCAAACGAGCTTGATGGTTTTCTTGCGCAAAGTCTCTTCTGCTGAGAGCCTAGCTTTCCTCCACAGCTGGCAGTACTGTGGTCATCTGTTAGATCAGCAGTCACCTCAAGTCGCAGCTAGGGAAGATCCCACAAAAACGAAACGAAGCACGGATCACATGACAAATCAGTGGCAAGGACTGTGTAGCAGCCCTCAATCTGATCCTCCACTCCCGGGTACCAAACCTGCCAAATCCCCGAATGGACAGCCGTCAGTCGGCAAAACCCAAGCAGTACATTCAAGAACAGCCTTCTGCCACGACTCGCGTATGCCGAGCGAAAACCTCACACTCCAAGTGCTTTGAAAGCCTTCTTCTAGGCTCTGCCCACGCAAAGAGACTTTTCTAAAGTTGAAGCAGCTGCCAATTTGAGGCCAAACTAGATCAAAGGGCTAACCCTGCGAAGTCAAAAGTTGTGGATTGATGTACTGGCAGGCAAGAAACAGAAGTAAAAGCCACATCCGTCAGGTCCTCCTCAACTTTGGCAAAGGGAGCTCTCCTGCAAATTCTTTGAGAACAAGAGATGTAAGTTCATCGATTCACTCTGCAACCGTCAGGTGCCTGGATGAAATGAAAACCAAAGCCTCAGCAGCTATTGCAGTGTCTGAAATTGTGAACCTCGCATCATGGCAATGTGCTCAGTGTTCAACTTATGGCAGACTTGTGTGGTGTATACATGAAGCGAGTCTGAGGCCGAGGCACAACGTGGTGCTTTACTTCGTGCTACTCTACACTACGTTCTAGCATATTGAGCCACCTTCATGAACTCGAAAGAAATTACAAAGCAGTGTTTGGTACTCACAGCAACCTGGAAGCTGCGACTGTAGCTACATGTACAAATAAACAAGAATTGATCATAAGTACTTGCTGTACTTGCTGTTGCCTTGTTCTTCAACAAATGAGGAAGTGTCGATGAATGACCACGAAACATGTCATTTCACAAAACTGCAACCACCTCGCCAACCTGAAGTAGATCGGGAACAGTCTCCGGCACCTGCAAACGAAGCAAACGCACAGAAGTTGCTCTGCTACACTAGGCAAACCACTGCAAGCATGCATGAAGCATTCAAGTGCCTGAGCACGCCGAATTGAGTTAACTTCAAAGTATAACTGAACACTGTCAACACTTGTGTACTTGTTGTGCACAACCTGTTCAGACTTGAAGCATCCTATTTTACAGCTACAAAAGCTCATCAAAAAGTTAAGACGTTGCCTTGTGGTGGACAAAATCCTGTGAAGAGGACACATGCACTGCCTCATCCAACCACGTGAGACTGATGAATTGTCTGACCTGAGATTGTAGAGAGTATATGCATGACCATTCTACTTCTACGTAGATTCTACTTCAATACTTCAAAAGAAAAAACTGCAAAGGAACGCCAAATTCGGAGGACCTCTTTTCTCCCGGGAATTTGGTGCTTGTCAAACAGTACATGCGCCATGCTGTTGAGCCGTCGTTGCGTTGAGAATGGGTCTCACCAAACACCGTTAAGCAATAAGAGCATGACATACCTATAATTCCACATCATGTGCCAAAGCTACTCGACCCAAAGCGCATCAAGGGCGATGATGAGAAGCCAGCAAACTAACAGCTGCTGCTTCAACCCAGAACAGCGTACAAACTCCTTGGCAAAATATCCTGTGCTTGGCACAGAAAAGAAACCAAAATGTTGTCCTGCGTTGTGATTCCCGAATGTGATGCTCACATCATTGGTGTCTAGTAATTCTGACCCACATTGAATATCCTTGTCTTAAAACCTGTGGGCTAGTTGAACATCAAGACAAGTTGTTAAAAGGGCATCGCTGCCATGATGTGAGCACTATGCCTTTGCGGCATCCACTCGGACATCATCTACCCAGGCAATTTCAGCGTCGTTGTGAACGTGCTTCCAATGGTGTGCCCACTTGGCACCTCAGAGACGGTGCCCCAGAACCTTGCTTCCGGCGACTACAAAAAGTATGTCATACCCTTCAACACGGTTCCTGTCGGCCAGGAGGGGTAGGGAGTTGGGATGCAGAAGGGCTTGGGTTCTTCGGGTTTTGCTAGAACTTTAGGGAAGCTTAACTGCTATTATCATAGCCACAGCCGTCGTAGAACCAAACGCAGCGGGAGCTCGATGCCTAGCTTGCATCTAGCAGATACAAGAATTCTGCCAGAGCATGCATATTGCTGATTCACATTGTCTGAGGGATTCTCTGCACAAATGGGTTGGGACGTTGCCAAATCACAGGCACTGTTCACATTTAAAAACAACCGACAACATCCCCAACAACACACCTTAAGCAGGTGAAATTTCTCTCCAAAGCACCTGCTCTTGGGACCCCTTTGACAGCTGACCACAGCTCTCCAGCATTCAGAGAAATAAAATTCCAGATCAAATTCAATAAGCAATCAGAGCTTATATAGAGCCCCTGAGGAAGCTTTCTCTACGATTCTACAATAACAAAGCTCTCTTGAATGGGGGAATTCGCTCTGGATTTCCTGGAAGAAGCCGAGCACACTATTGCCAATTTGCAGGTGGGGTCAGGTTTGCCATTAATAGATATATATGTATAAATATATATATATCATAATTGGATGCAGTACCCAAATCAGTCTATGATTAAGACCTGACATCGAGCGGCAGCTACACTTCTCCAAAAATTAAGTTACGCTTGCTAGTTTGCCTTTGCATGATTACAAAAGTGTCTATAAAAACAAGGAACCTCCCTCTTACTCGAAAAACAACACAAGATTTTGGACACCCTCGAAAACCTGAGGGATTCTGAGAATCCTGGCTCCTCGTGCAAGCAGTTCATGACCTTGCTTTCAAAGACTTGCTTTCAACATCTAGATGCGGACCTCCAACCAACCTACCCCTTCTGACCCAGATGCCAGCATTCTGGCTCTCAGCTCTTGAGATGTTTGACTTGAGATGCTTCATACTATTTGGGACCCCTTTTAATGGCAGCAGAAATTTCTTGGCAACTAGTCGAGGGGTTGCCGGTTTTGAGTGTCGGGGGATCTTGTGAAACAAAAATTAATGAGGGCAGGGCGTGCTAACTTCGAGTGGTGGAAAGGACTTTTTTCATGCAACTGCTGAATGGCGCAGGGTCACAGTACAAGTTTTGCATGCATCAAATTGGATTTGTGGGAGTCGCTTGAAGGGCTAAGTTTCCCAAAAGTCTCAAGCTCACGGTCTGGTTTCCCAGAGAAAACAAAGGGAAAAAAGGACAAACAGTTAAACAGTCGTCGGTGGATATGTGAATTGAAGGCTTTATGTTCTTCCTAGCTCCTTTCTGTTCAACGTGTCCTTCTTTCTCACGTTATTCCTTTCTTTTCTCCTTGTGTGCCCTTTTTGTGTACTTCCTCGCAACTTGTATTTGCAATTAGAAGGCAAACTCTTCGCGGATGAGTATTGCTATAGCATCACATTGGCCTCTTTACTCGGTAGAATGAACAGTTGGTGCACTCCATCTATCGCACAGCGCCATTATGTACCCATCTAGACTTACAGCAGTCCTGAGTCTACAGAGGTTTAGAGTTTAGAGGCAACAGAAAACTCAGGCAGCAACCCTCCTCATTCTCTTCGGAAATTTGCACGTGTATACAGGCAAGCAATATACATTTCAGCTGAGACTCATCCACGTGGTACAAATGTCCAGCATATTCAACCTTCGTGCGGAAGGAATGGGAATGCAAGTGATCGCTTGATCAAGCTGATTGCAAAGAAACTGGTGTAACTATGCCATGCTGCCGGAAGCTGCATTCCGTATCGCCAGCCAGCTGGCACTGTAACCGAAACATCAGCTGTTGATGGGGTGAGCTCCTGAACAATTCATGACTAGGTATTGCTGATTTGGAAGGTTCACAACAGCTACAGTAAATCTAAACCATACAAGCAAAACTATCAGGCAATAGTTTTCACCACTGGGCCGGTGCGTCCTGCAACCCACTTGCCTGCATAATGGCATCAGAATAAAAGCCAGCAATTACTGCACTTGACTGCAATAGAGAAAGTGCACCCAGACAAGGATGCAAAACTTGAACATCTTCAACATATATAGTATCTTTTGAACACAGCAAATGTCAGGCAATAGTGTGAATACATTCAGAACCATCTGCAGTATAGAAAGAAAATGTCTGTCTAGACCATGTTTTTGACTGAGCTGCATTCTCAACAAAATCTAGAACACTATTGAGCTCAATCGTTCACCATCCTAGGGCTCTTTCCCAGTTATATTTCCAGTGCGCAGCACGGTATTGCCACCTCTCTGCGCAGCGCAGAAACAAATTCTTCGATGTTGATCCTTGCAACTCTTCTGGATATTGCATGGAAAGAAGATGAAACCGGCACGCTCGTTGACTTGTCATGCAAACACGAACTTGCAAAACAAAACATCCAACATGCTTTCGAAACTCCAGCCACTGTGGTCCCAATCGCAGAGGTGAAATGCTTCAGATAACACTGTGGGTGATAAATCAGGAAGATACGCAAGAAGTATTCGAGAAAGCTCATCTCCTTGCAAAGCCAGCAAGACGTTGCAGACTGGTCAGTACACTGGGTGTACTTAGTTGCCGTCAGCCAGCTGCAGAGTTGTTTTTCACCAAGAGACGCGACAGTAAACCATCAGACCGCACGCTTGCACTCCTCGGATGATCCGTAAACCATACTCACCCTACTCATGACTTCACATCGCAAATAAGAGCTTTCTTGTGGTTCTTGTCCCAAGCAGCACTAAAAGAACACTGGTGCTACAAAGCGGCGCAAAGAGATGCTCCGGTGGTATGTTTTTTGCAATCAAGCTGTCCGCGATCTCTCGCAATAGTTGTTTTGCCACTGCTGTGCTGCCCAACATCTTTTCCTTCCAAGTTGAATCAGCAGAACTCCAAACGAATGACTTCCAGAGTGCGGTGCCTTGGCATCTACAGGCTGGGCATACATCCATCTGATGAACTCTTCAAAGTCAATGTTTCCTGACAACGGGACACTTAAACAGAGAAGAACAATACGCATGTAATTCTGCAGAATATGTGGATTAAATCCTACACAATCCCTGTGCCAAAGCTGCCATCAGAATTGGTGTCAATGACGCCAAACAATCGAGGAACATCAGCTGCAGGAACTCCAATGATGAGTAGCAACCTTAGCTGCAAAAAAATACTGTGACATCCATCTGGGATGTTTCCGGCTAGGTGGTCAACACAACTATATAATGTGTGGTTATTTGTAGTTTTGCCCTCGTGTATCTTCTGCAGAGCAAGAAACTCGCGCAGTTCGTCAAAACCCAAGGTTCCATTACCGTTCACATCGAACCTCTGGAACAAAGCGAGCGCATCGTCCATAGACATGTCTCCACCACCAGAAACGATTATAACCCACTTTGAGACAATTGAGCCCAAACGGCTTGTGAAACACAGATGTTTGGTGGCTGAAACGGCTATATACAACAATTGCAATTGCGCGCCGATGAACAACTGGCAAACTGCAACCAAGACTCCACCTGCATCATGCCAGGATCCCACGACGCTGACCCGAAATCAGCCAGTCAAACCACTGCAACAAAGGTCTGATGTCGCGCGTGATCTGGCCATAGAACTGCCCCGGCAAAAATGAACAAACGTTTTGACATCTGCCATTGAAACAAAAATTTGTAAATAACTTGTCTCAGTCTTCCCAACACAACCGAAGAGTAACCAGTCGTGTCCAATTGTGTCCCAATGTGTCATGCAAGTGTTCAATGGTATCGTTTTTTAATGACATTGGTTTTGTAAAACGTTGGTCTAGCAGGCAAAACCGGCATGATTCCAGGGCGACATTGCGAGTTTGTTCTTGATGTAAGTTAGTTGCAAACCTGAAAGCCACTGCGGACATGCTGACGCAGTAAATTGAAAGTCATGTCAAACAACCACACCTGATAAACAGTGTTCGTGCTAAAAACTGCACGCGTTGTCAAATCTTACATTCAACGTTGTCCGGCACAAGTTAGACCATTACTACTGCAAAGCCACCCTCGGCATAATACATCAAATCAAGGGTGTGCCTGTGTGTGTACACCTTGAAGTCACAAGCTGCCTTTCGGGAACTTTGCGAAGTTAGGGTTCTTATTATGCAATTTTTTTGCATGACGCATCTGCAGCTGCTAAGGAGCTGGCAATACAATTGCAAATACATTTGCAACTTCTACTTATACAGCTGCCGTTGTATGTATTCTACAATAGGTTTGCTAGAGGCTAGAAATACATCGGCAGTTTGCAGGTATGGTTGTGTACCGCTGCTGCTACACTAGCATTGCTTTGGTGCTGGGATCTTGCTTTGGTGAGTTGCTTTGGTGCTGGGATCTTGCTTTGGTGAGTTGTTTTGGTGGTGGGATCTTGCTTGGATAGACTTCGCTGGGGTGCTGCGAAAGTAAAGTCAAAAGCAAAGTCAAGTACTGGGGGCCTTGCTTAGGTAAAGCCAAATGCAAACTCAAGTATTTCGCTGGAGTCGTGCTTCAATCTATAACCACATATGCAAAAATAAGCGTACGTTACAACATGAAGTAAAACATCTGCTTTTTCGCCCGTGCGTGATATATCTTGGGTATACGTTTTTCCCGAATGCGTAGCGAAGGGTTCTCGTTTAACTCTTGGGGGTCTGGGGGTAGAGCCTTGTTCGCGATCCGTTGTTTCTACGTCCGCAACCGTCCGCAGCCGTCCGCAACCGTCCGCAACCGTTCGCAACCGTTCGCGGTAGAGCGCTAAGGCGCTGCCATTAGGGGAAGCTTTTGCAAGTGACTTTTCATGGATGTGTCACGTGTCAGTTTGCGACGCTATTCCATTGTGATTTGCATGAAAATGACATGTCGCGCAAGAAATGTGATGCATTTCGCTGCACAGGCGCAGCGTTTTGTGAGATCCTCAGTTTGCTACGCACTTCCATTGGGGTTAGCGTTTGGAGAGTCGTGTTTTTGGGGTGTGTGATGTGGCCGTGCCATTGGGATTTGCGTTTCCGGGTGTGGCATCGAAGCTCTGTTTTCGTGACAAGTCTCAGCTGAAATGCCGATTTTGGTGGATGGGAGTATGCTCAGAACGGGTCGAAATCATTCCAAACGTGTGGTGCGGTGCAAATTTTTTTGACGCTCACATGAGATTACTTTGTGCGGGTTTTGAGGTGTGGAAGTGGGATTTTCGTGGCAGGCGCAGGGAATCGTGAGGTTGCGATGTGTGACGGAGGTGACATTTCGTGGCAGGCACAGCACTTTGTGCGCGTTAGACGTGTGGACGCGGAAAGATTCGTGGCAGGCGCAGGGAATTGGAGGTTTGAGTTGTGGTAGAGGTGAATGTCGCTGTCACATTGGGATTGGCGTGTGAGCGGGTGTTGTTTGGAGGGGCTGGAATCGCGAAACTGCTTGGCAGGGCTGCGTGATGTGTGTGCTCCGATGGGTGTTTCCGCTGGACTTTTGGAGGAAGTCTCGTGCGAAACGTTCGTTTTGCAGACTTTGACATGTGAGTTTTTGAGGAAGTCTCGTACGAAACGCTCGTTTTGGGGTCTTGACATGTGACTTTTGGAGGAAGTCTCGTACGAAGCGCTCGTTTTGGAGACTTGACGTGTGACTTTTGGAGGAAGTCTCGTACGAAACGCTCGTTTTTGAGACTTGACGCGTGACTTTTGGAGGAAGTCTCGTACGAAACGCTCGTCTTGCAGCCTCGAAGCGTGACTTTTGGAGGAAGTCTCGTACGAAGAGTGTGCCCTACAGGAGTGTCCCACAAGAGTGTCCTACAAGAGTGTCCCACAAGAGTGTCCTACAAGAGTATCCCACAAGAGCTTCCTACAAGAATGTCCCACAAGAGTGTCCCACAAGAGTGTCCCACAAGACTCTCCTACAAGAGTGTCCCACAAGAGTGTCCCACAAGAGTGTTCTGTATGAGTGTCCCGCAAGAGTGTCCCGCATGTCCCACAAGAGTGTCCTACAAGAGTGTCCCACAAGAGTGTCCCGTATGAGTGCCCCACAAGAGTGTCCCACAAGTGTGTCCCACAAGAGAGTGTCCGACAAGAGTGTCCCATAAGAGTGACCCACAAGAGTGCGCAACAAGAGTGTCCCGTAAGAGTGTCCCGCAAGAGTGTCCTACAAGAGTGTCCCACAAGAGCGTCCTACAAGAGTGTCCCGTAAGAGTGTCTCACAAGAGTGTCCCACAAGAGTGTCCCGCAACCATGTCCCACAAGAGTGTCTCACAAGAGTTAAGAGTGTCCCACAAGAGTGTCCCATAAGAGTGTCCCACAAGAGTGTCCCACAAGAGTGCCCTACACGAGTGTCCCACAAGAGTGCCCTACAAGAGTGTCCCACAAGAGTCCAACAAGACTATCCCACAAGATTTTCCTACAAGAGTGTCCTATAAGAGTGTCCCACAAGAGTGTCCCACAAGAGTGTCCTACAAGAGTGTCCCACAAGAGTGTCCCGCAAGAGTGTCCCAAATGAGTGTCCCACAGGAGTGTCCTACAGGAGTGTCCCACAAGAGTGTCCCACAAGAGTTTCCTACAAGAGTGTCCCACAAGAGTGTCCCACAAGAGTGCCCTACAAGAGTGTCCCACTACAAGAGTGTCCCACAAGAGTGTCCTACAAGAGTGTCCCAGAAGAGTGTCCCACAAGAGTGTCCCACAAGAGTGTCCTACAAGAGTGTCCCACAAGAGTGTCCCACAAGAGTGTCCCACAAGAGTGTCCTGCAAGAGTGTCCCACAAGAGTGTCCCACAAGAGTGCCCCAACTGAGTGTCCCACAGGAGTGTCCCACAAGAGTGTCCCGCAACAGTGTCCCACAAGAGTGTCCTACAAGAGTGTCCCACAAGAGCTTCCTACAACAGTGTCCCACAAGAGTGCCCCACAAGAATGTCCCACAACATTGTCCTACAGGAGTGTCCCACAAGAGTGTCCCACAAGAGTGTCCCACAAGAGTGTCCCGTAAGAGTGTCCCACAAGAGTTTCCTACAAGAGTGACCCACAAGAGTGTCCCACAAGAGTGTCCTACAAGAGTGTCATTTGGACATATGTAACCTTTTGAACGTGTTTGCATTCGGGTTCGTGGGCTCCATCTTGTTTCTTAAGCGGGGGCCTGGCAGGACAGGGCTTGCAAAACCTGACCCGCTGCAGGGATCGTGCGCGTCGAGTGCTCAAACGTGTGGTGAAATGCGAATTGCGAACTGGGGTGGCTGGAGGTTCCCCTCTGCGCAGATTGCGCGCGTCGAATGCTCAAACGTGTGGCCAAATGTGAATTGCGGCGGCCGGATGAACCCTCTGCGGAGATCACGCGCGTCGAGTGCTCAAACGTGTGATGAAATGCGAATTCCGGCTGCGCCGGATATACTGGGTACTAGTGAGATAGGAGATCGGACTTTGTGGACATCACAAATTTTTGCAAAAGAAAGATGAGAAAATCCGAACAAAACACAAGGAGAAGTCACATGAGATAATTTAGGGTCGGGCCACGAGTGTCCTAAAGTCGCATCTCATGTGTTTTTTCAATGTTTTTGTCCCATCTCATGTTTGCACTCATTCCAGGCCATTGGAATTTATCAAAACACCTCTCAGCGGGACTGAAACGTCCAGACCCTTTGACTGCCTTGGCCTGAGCTTCGTCACTTGGTCGAACAAGCTTGTCAATCATGGAAAGGGACATGTCTTACGCAATCCTTGCTGAAGAGTCAAAGGCATCAAACAATTCGTCAGTCAGGTCGTCAGTTTCTTGGCTCTCATTTCTAAGACGCCACTGAGCGAAAGTCTCGCCTTTGGGAGAAAGATGAAAACTGCATGTTTATTGCCATTGATGGCCACGGTTGAAATAAGTAGTTGTGCAACGAACGACAGGCCATCAATAAACTCTGCAAAACTGCGGGCCTGAGCGACGGCCTCCTCAAGCTTATGACACCCACAAGGTCCCGCTCACGTGGCAAAAGTCTTGAAAGGCAAACGAATACTCGTCTTTGAAGAGATGGTTGAAGCCTTCCTCAATCCTGACGGGTCGTTGGCTAGAGACATTTTGAAGGGTTTTGACTTGATGGGAAAGATCGATTCAAACCCAGATTTCCCTCCAAAGACAACTTTCGCCACGGTCACACCGGACCAAGTTGGTGACTCTAGCCTTTTGGGTTAGGGCTGGAATTGCCGGTAAGATCTTGGAGAAGAAAGATTCCGAGCCCAGGAAAGCCGCCGGCAAGGTTCGTACCAAACAAAAGCAGAACCCAAAACTTTTTTTACGAGTACGGACGCCATGTGGGCGGTGTGCCCAGGTCATCAAGAAAGGATGGAAACTCTGCATATTGGTAGGGGGAGCAACCCGAAAAGACAGAAAACAAACACAGCCCAAAACCAAAAACCCACCCCAAAAGCACCAGCACCCAAAAGACCCCAACAACCAATGTGGGCAGAGTTTCGTCTGTACTAAGGTGAGACGTGTGAAACTTGAAAGAGTGC